CTTCCAACTGCTGACATTCTGGGATTCTGTGATATTTTGGACTCTTGAGGCAATAGAAGTATTATCTTTTACTGAAAGCATCAAAACTTTTCCACACTGAGGAAATATCAAAGAACCTTTAAACATTTGTACATTTTGTAATATAAAATGATACGATCTTTATATCACTGACTTCATAAAGTTATTAAATCATTCCCGAATGAAAAAAAGGAAAGAACAGATCTAGTGACCAGTTAAACAATGATTTTTGCTGGTTCTTTCTCCTGGGCTCTCATCACAGGAGCCATATTTGAAGCCCTGGAAGTTCTTTCCAGGAGAAGCATCTGGCTCCTTGGCTCTCGCAGCATCTCCAGGTTGAAGCTGCTTCCTCAACCTAAAATGCTATGCAAATCCCTGAGATTTTTGTTATCTCCATGGGAAAATAAATAGTGAATAAAAGAAAGTCGCTCAGACAGACCTGGTATCCGAATGGAGTCTTAGATCTTGCAGTCGCTGTTTGGAAGGTGTTCAGAAAGGCTGGAGTCTGGAGACTTTCAGAAATGAAGTGGGAGTTTGCCCGAGGACAGTGTGGGATGAATGTGGGATTTGGCTCCACACAGAGAAAAACACGCTAAGATTCTTCTTAAATATGTTTTATTAACTTGGTATTTGCTCGGGGAGGTTAAAGCTGTTTTAAGTGAAACATATGCGGTATGAATTGCAGTGGTTTCATTGATCTGTGCCTCACAGCCGCTACTTTAAAGACATTTGGAGGGGGACAAAGAAAAATGTAGGATTCGGTGTTTCAGTCACAGTAGGAAATGTTTAAAGGTTGTGTATTAATGTGGGGAGAGCTGGCCTGAAGGTCCTGAAGGGCTTTTCTATCGATAAAGAGGAACGGCGATCTCTTATCTCGTAACAATTTGGGTATGTTTTTGTGTGTACTTAATGTTTTAGATAGAAATTCAACCAGTTAGTACCTCAGTTTAGGTTTAGGAACTATTTTCTCTTTTGTGTAAGTGAAGTAATGCATTGTAAGCTTTCCTTTACACCTTCAAAACTAGGCAATAAATATGTTTATAAGTGTTCAGTTGGGGATAAAGAACAATCCCATGGTTCTGCCATGGAGGTAGGAAGTAGAAAACCGGGTACGTTTGCATTTATTTACACAAAATCGTTCTGTGTTGTTGTAGGCCCCGATACAACCTTAGGACCTTGTGGGTCATCTGCTGCAGAACTCCTTGAAGTTATTTTTGTAATGGAAAATATAATCCTCTTTCTCCCAAAATATTCTTTGCGCCTGCATTTTTGCATTTTTTTTTTGCTTCTTAATGATCATAAAAATAGCAGTTCAGCTCTGGAAAAAAAGCCTTTCCCCAACCACAGGCAGTTTTAAAGAAAAATTAATATATCTTAATATATATCCTGCCTAACACCTCATTAATGTATCTATGCTGGTCATTTTTCCCCCCACCTTGAACACCAGTAGAGGCTCCAGCACTGATTCAAATTCCTTCTAAAAAATCTCACCAGTTGTAGCGGTGTCACCTAGAAAATGCCAAATTAAATATGATACAGACAGAGTTTCAGAGGTTCTGGTCTTAGCTACGTGGTTCTGGTGACACAGTTATTGATACTATCGAGTCCCACACGATGAAAGGACTTTAACAAGTAATAATGATGCTGCTTTGTGTATAAAATCACTGCCGCAACCTCACACAAAGTGGGGTTTGTATATTTTATACTTAGAAGCAAAGTGATAATTTAATGCCTGCGAAATTATAGTCGGTTCAGTGTTGCCATCAAGGGGAATAAAATTCCAATCAGAAGGGAACTTTGAGAAAGCATTTGGCAGTGTAACGCCGTTTTGTACTGCGTTACTGCGCAGTTTGACGTTTGCTGCTGGTTAACCACGCGCTTTCAATGATTGCACAGCCCCGTCCTTGAGCCCGAAAAATGAGGGAATGGTTTCTCACAGGGGGGTGCTTTCCATCGCTGTTCGATATGGGAAATGGATTCATTTGTGCCAAACAAAGAAGAAAAAGCGGGGATGGCAGCAATGCTGCTGCAGGGGGCAAAACGCAGCTCGATGGCCGGGCAGGGACATTAAATCGCATGGGTTTGGGGAGATGCCTCCGTGTTCTTCTGCTTCCCTCTGCTGGAGTGCGGCAGGATTCCTGCCCGGCTCCTGAGCAAATCCCAACCCATTTCTTCCTGTTCTTTAAAGGTTTCTGGTCCATTTTCAGTTTTCTTTCCATAGCTCCACATAGGGCAACACAGATGTCCTGGTTGGGGCCATTTCTTGGCTGCCTCTCTCCATATAAGCACGTCTCAGCTTTGAGACTAATAAGTAATATGTTGGTTTTTTCAGAGCTGCATGGGGTGTAGATACCCAGTTGCTGCTCATCTTTATAGGGATTCTGCACCCAAGTATGTTGTTACAGGCTCTGGGACCCCAGTCTCTTGCACTGCAGTCGAATTGAAGAGCACTGGTTAACTTTCTGCCAGTGTAAAGGTTTTTCAAAGGCAAATATTTAAATATCTGTGCTCCTGATTGCCCAGGGTTGCCTTTCCCATTTAATTATACTATATTGCGTACAGTTGTTCTTATAAAAATGGGGGATTCTCTTCATCATAGCAGAGAATTTACTTTTAACTTGCAAATAACATGCATTTTAAGAGAGGTTATCATTCCTCATTGCTTAACAAGTGCTTTCCCATTGCTTTCCCATTGCCGCTTTCCCCTTTCATAATTTTGATGGATTTTGGAAGCAGAAGTGGGTTTTCCCTTTAGAGTTTCACAATTAATCTATGCCAAGTTTAGTGCAAAGTTCAATTCTCTCGCAAATAGCAGGCACGATTTGGCAGTTCATCTGTCGTATCCTGGCTTGGCTCCCTGTGTTTACGATGAAGTATGACTGCCAGCTCTGCCTGGGGAGTTATTGGAAGTTTACATTGATTAAAGGGGATGTTTGGAGAATATTTGCAGGAGCTTGCCTCTGCCTCGGTAGTTTACTTCTAGCCGAAAAATACTACAGACGATCTTGTTTCCTCAATAACCCATGTCAGTCACTTAATGACTGTATTAACAACTGTATTAGCAACTAATAAGTGTTTATTGCTGTTAATAATATAAGTCATTAGTACTGGCAATGCAGTAATTATTATTAATATAGTTAGTTACTATTAAAGTGTAAACTACAGAATCAAGGATGAATGCTTAACTTAATTACCACATATATTCCCTTGTTATTTAATTTCAGTGTAATCTACAGGTTCAATGGGTTTAGGAGACAGTCACTGTAATAATTTTCCATAGTTCTTTTCCTCTATATCATTGCTTTATACTCAAAAGTACCACTTATGTCAGATATTAAACACTGCTTTACAAATCTGTTTATTCAGTATCATTCTTAGAAGCTGTGGGCTTTGTCAACAACAGATGTGCTTCCCCAAGGCACATTTAAGTGAATATAAGGCAACAAGTTCCCTTAAGTCTTCTAAACAAAACAAATGAAGGAGGAATTAGCTTTGAAAATGCATTTTAAATTATTTGGAAGGCATATAGTCAGCGTGGATCCATCAGATAAGCCTGTGGTGATGTTCCCATGACCCCGCGCCACCAGCCCCATTGGCTGTATCTGTAATAAATCCCGAAGCAGATGTTCTCTGGAGCGTTGGCTGTCGTTCCGTTCAGGTTAACTGTGTTTACAAATTAAATATGGTGCTTAGCAGTTTTGCATTTCATATCTCAGGCTGTGCAATAAAAAGAACTATTGAGATAGTCTCAAGTTGAAATCTTAATGTAAAGTCTTTACCCGTTATCCTGGATACCGTATCGTTTTGTCTGTGCAGTGAAAAGTACTGGGTATGGATCCGTGATAAAACTTAGAATCGGTGCCAAAAAATCACAGAAAAAGTCCTTGTCAAAACTAACAAACAAAACCCTTAACAAAGTGTAGTATGGCAAAATATTAGATTTTGAAGGCAAGATTTTGCCTTACCATAGTCATATTTTTATTAAAATTACTGTTAGGAGTTCCCAGATTTCTTGAGAAAGCACTTATACTAGGAGAAATCTTGTGGTTTTGAAGAAAAAGCAGGTTTTCTAGTTTGCTGTGCTTTGCTTTTGATTTTTTGGAAGCTTTTACTGACAGCTACAAGTTGACAAGTTAGTTTATTTTCATGACGATTTAATAATTCTTATATAAGGATGTATTAATGCAAAATGGAAATGGCAGAAAATGTTTTGAGCTCTCGTTTTGCAGCTGTATTTTTGTTAAGGATGTTTTAGTGCATGAAAGACCTGGCAGTTCACAATTTCCATGGTCTTTCTGTAAAAAACCTTAGCAAGAATTGATTTCAAACCCCAGTGTATTTTATTTCATGAGGAACTGCTGCTTTTCCCAGCTTCTGATCAAGACTGTGTGTATATGGAACAAGCCTGATACGGGTGAAGATGCGATTTCTTCCTTTTATATGAATGCTCTTGGTTTTCCAAAGGGGACCACTGCCTCTTGAGAACAGCAAATGTATTTGGATGCGTCACACATTTAGGTGATTTGGGTGTATTCCCTTTCACTGCTCCCAAATTAGAAACCATTTCCAAGCTGCCGGTGGCCTTAAAATGTCCTCACTCTTGAGTTTCTATGTTCGAAATTCAGATGGGAACAACAACGTCTGTAACATATTTACTCCACATGTCAAGTTAGAATTTGTTCACTTTCATTTACAGTAATACAGGTTATCAACTTGCATCTTATTTTTTGGTGATGTGAGGATCTGTTTCTGCTTTTCCCTTCAGGATCCCAGAAGCAAGCACAAATTTAAGATCCACACGTATGGCAGCCCGACCTTCTGTGACCATTGCGGGTCACTGCTGTACGGGCTCCTGCACCAGGGGATGAAGTGTGACAGTAAGTGGAGTTTTGCTGTGCTGCCTAAAGGGTATTTTGCAAAGTAGAAACACTGGGTTACAGCTTCTGATCTCTGTGAAAAATACCGTTTCATATGTCAGCTGTTAGATTTCAAGTGGATATTTCAGTACTGTCATAATATACTAATGAAAATCACCTCTGTTGCTGAGAACGTGGCGTGTCGGGTTTGGTGCGGCTGAAGAGCGTTTGCCGTGGAAGCTTTGAGGAAGGTTGGTTTTAGACTGCTCAGGTAAATGCACTGTAAAACTTAAATCTCAGTTCAGTTGGTAGCCAAGGTGCAATATTTTCCTTGCATTTCATTTCTGCTGAAAATAGAATAATCAGTTTAAATGTAACTCACTTCATTGCTAATGCTGGCACGAATGCACTGTTTTCTCAGTCATATTCCCAGGAACTCTTTATTCCATTTTCACTTCATTTTTTCCTTGCACCTCATTAATTTTATCTTTAGGTTTCTGAAGTAGAGTATTTTATTCTCTGTTTATTCACTGTCTACAAAATGTATTGCAAGATGGAAACTAGCCATGTTGTCTGGTTGAAAACCATGCAGCTGTAATCTGAAAGTCTCACCAACAGTTAAACATTGTAATCTTGACTTTCACTTTGCTCAGTGTTTGCAGTCTAATAATTTTATTAGTTTCTCATAGCTGTCTGAACCATTTTCTGTGCCCACAGCCTGTGATATGAACGTTCATAAGCAATGTGTAATCAACGTCCCAAGCCTCTGCGGCATGGATCACACAGAGAAAAGAGGGAGGATTTATCTGAAAGCTGAAGTCACCGGTGACAAACTGGAAGTAACAGGTAAACAACTCATTTGGGGATTTTGCAGGGTTTATAAATCTGTAATACACACTGTGGGTTTATGTACCTTGGTCAGATCTTTGTGTATTAAAGCCTGTGGTGGAGGATTTCCCTTCAGAAGCGTGAGGATTTCATTCAACGTGGCCTTGACTCAAGAAACTCTATGAACTGGTGTTCATAAAAATAAATAGAAAAATATATGCTGTAGTAATAGCTTTCAAAACTCAGGCATATTGATCAGAAAATGACTGTAATGTTAATTTTTTGTGTAGGAAGCAGCCCAGTAGGATAGCTGGCTGTACAGGAAGTTGGCCATCGTCTTGAGAACACAAGAGATGCTCTAAACTTTCATCAGCTGAGGAGTTGTTTCCTGCATCTCAGAGTATTTCATAAACAAAGGGCACTTGGATTCAATCCCAAATATTACTCCCAGTGAGTAATAAAATAAAAAGATCACCACATTCTGTAAGGCTGTGGTTATTAAGACAGGGAGGGGAGAGAGGAAGGAAGGAGAAGGTGGCAGCTCGTTTCCTTGAAGAGTTTCTTCAGAACTTAAGTGTAAGCTTTGGTTGTGCACAGCCCTGCCCCACCAACCCATTCCAAGTCTGGAGTTGCAGGAAAAATTCTGGAAAATGGATTTTGCAAGTTAAAGGACTGCTTTGTCCCCCTTAAAAGGCACATAATAGATTGTTTAAATGCAACCGAACTTCCTTGTGCTGTGTCAGAGTGGAGTTTATCACTCAGGATCTGCAGGAGGATTTGTATTTACAGTGTGTCATGTTTTTTCTATATGTGCTTTCTATTTTAGCTGGGGTCCACTGGCAATTAGTGTGCCTGATGCCTGAGCTGTGAAGTTGGTAGTGAACTTTATTGCTCATTTTTCCTTTCTGTTGGAAACAAATATGCAAAAGTTGTTCTTTGCCAATCAGATGAGAGTGCATTTACTCTAAGGGAGACCTCAGGGCAGGAATTAGGATGGACAGAAGTGAAATAAGGGAAGGAACACCAGAAAACTTTGTTCGTCTTTTTAGTAGGTAGAGGCAAACAAATCGAACAAATCTAAATTCTAAAAGAAAGTCCCAATTTTTTATGGCTCAGAACTTTAAGAAACTTGCAAAAATGGGCTGTAGTAACTAAAACCAAATTAAGTATGGTATAACTGAGGAAATGGAGTAGAATACAGTCATAAAACACAAGTTATCAGAAGCTTTTCTCTCGGGTGAGTGGATGTCTTAGTGTGGCATCAAGGTGACCAACACTGCTTCTCCAGTGAAGAAAACTTGCAGGGAACCCATCTTAATATGTGACAGCAGAGGAACACTGATCCATCTGTAAATTGGGTACTGCAGGAAACTGAATTCAGTGTGCACACCGTGAAACAAGACCAGGGTACGATGCTGTTGCTGTCGCCTGTTTGGGGTTGCAAAATGGAGTTAAATCTGAGGGGAAAGTTGTAGCAGGACAAAGGAGGAGGTTTCTTAGACCATCTCAACTTCTGTCTTTGTTTCTCGGTGCAGTTGTTCACAGCCTGTGAACGTTGAGTGCTGGGTATTGCTTCAGCCTTGCTCAGTTGAAAGGCTAGAGCCTAATATACACCAAAAATATGTTCCTTCTCCCTCTGCACTTCTCTGGAGAGTGAATCTCAACGGAGACTCGACCCCATGTAGTCACCATAAAGGAAACCAGCCCATGACACTGCATCCTCACAGCTGACAGCAAACCTCCCTCCCGTTGCTGTACTCATTCATGGCTTTGTTTTCTCTGAAGCCGAATACCTCCACATTCTCCTGTCAAACCTTGTAAAATGCACTGAAAAGGAGAGGTGTGATAAAATTCAGTTAGAAAGGATCAGAACGGATCCCAGGTGATACTTAATTGTAGCTTAACTTTTCAAATAGCTTCCTGGCGGCGTAGGAGGGCTAAGTTTGTCCAAGGTACTGTCATTAACAGCAAGTAATGGCATTTCAGAGGTGGTGCTGCAGGTTCTCGCAGGAATTGTACCGTGAGAGAGAACTCATTTGAAAATCATCCAGGTGACAAAATCTAATACTTGCATTATTCTAGGCTGCTTTGCAGCAAGGCTCTTAAATATGGCTTAAACTTTCTGACATAATGCACATAATTTGACAAGTGACATGAACACATTTTCTGATGATTCAGCAGGTTTCTAATCCTTTCAGGGACAGAAACGTTTGTCACAAGTCTTTGTGGTACCAAAGCACTCCGAAACAATTACACAAACAGGTATTCTTTTAGTTCACAATTGTATTTGAAAAGGTCTTGTCTGAAATATAAATACAGTAAAATCATTACAGATAGTTTGTAGGATTTATTCCTAAGCTCTTTTTGGTGAGAGTGTACTTGGCAAATGCTGTGGCTTCTGTGTTTATAAATAAAACATTTCCTTCCCACGATGAAGTTGATTTCTGGACAATAAGGAAAAAAGTTTACTGTAACCTTGTTGTGTATATAACAGTTGTGATGCTGTTAAGTTGTTTTAGTTGAGGCTTGTCAGCACCTCCAAGCTTTCCGAAAATTTCTTTAAATAAAAATGACAGTTACCCTCAAACTAAGCTTTTAAATTGTTTTTTTTTAAACTGTACAGTACAGACTAAGCCCAGACCAGGTGAAGTTTCAGATGCTTTCTATGCATGTTTAACTAAAAAGGAAATTAGCAGTTTTCATACTGCAATGCAAAAATTTCCAACTCCTTTTCTCCCAGTACAGCATTGCTTCTAAAATATTTACTGACATATTTACTGGATATACAGTTCCCAGAGCTGCCAAGCACAGTACCGCTGCCTTTAGCCTCAGGAAAGGAGGTGAATTAAATGTCCAGGGTAGTTTAGGAACAGCAGGAAAAATAACCAGTGTTCGGCTGTTTGGTTTGAGCCTTTTTGAGAGGAATTACTCTGTACATGTTGAACTCCTTCAGCTGAATTCCTGAATATCTCTGCTCTGCATCCTGTTGTGGTTGTTAATTAGCTCCTGCGGATTGGATTCTGTCGTAGCTCAGCCCTGATTGCATGAGAACGCTTGTGCTGCTAAATGCAGAGATGCCTCTGGGATTGGCATCTTGCAGAAACCTTCGATGGGCAACCGAGCCATCCTTTTTATGGTAAAAGCCCACGGAGGATGCAGCTCGCTTAATGATGACTGGAAGATACAATTGGTCACTTTGGGGTTTTTTTGGTGGCTTGTCCATCCAAAAAAGGCCACAGCACACACTCGCTTACCAAGCCATAAAATAAACAGTACTGGGTTTTTTTTCCCAGCGAATACGAGGAAGGAGACACGGCAGAGCACTGCCAGATGGAGTTGGCCAGTGGTGCAGTCAGATTAGCTCAGACATCCAAGTGCTTTGGCAGGTTTTGAGTTGAACTAATGGTGGGAATGATTCAGTCCTGTATGTAAACATACTTAATTCCAGTTTACTAGGTCAGGTCTCCAATCTGGGCGCTTAAAGGTAGACTTACAGCCTTTTCTGTGTGAACATCACAGGCTCTGCAACTCAGACTCTAAATTAAACTCTCCTTTTTTCACAAAGGAGTAGGAATTTTGTATTTATATACTTCACCAAAACATCACTGTCTTCCCAGGACTAGCCAATATGCCACATTCAGTGCTCATTTTTGTTGCAATACTTAAATATCAAGGGTTCATTTTATAGCTATCAGATTGAGAGTTGCATTGGATGTTAGTAGTTTATTGCAGTAGCAGTAAATCAACGTGGTAGCTTTCTTTTTATAGGAACTCTCTTGAATGGCTTTTTTCGGAAATCACTGAATTCGTGAGCCTTTCATAGGTTGGACTGGCTTGCGTAGTTTGCTTTTAGGCCTCGTAAAGCAGGTTTTGCTATTCTTAATCTGTGCTTTTTCACTGAATTTTCTTCTCCTGATGTGCGTTAAAAGTTTTGTCACTCTTACAGATACTTCTTGACCTATCTTATAATTTAGAGAAATTCTGAGTGAGTTGGTAGGTGGATGAATCACAGTTTAGGGTTGGTTTTTTTCGTATTTTATTTTTGAATTCTTTTCATAGTGAGTAAACAATAACCTTTGTGAGAAAATAACCCCATCTGCTGCACTGACATGTAAAAAGCTGCCACGTTATCGGAATCCTAAACTGTGCCCTATCAGTTGCTGGGAGCTGGGTTTGACAGCAGCTGACAATAAAAAACTGCCCTCCCGACACGGGTGCCAATTTAGAGGCAGGGTGTTACCAACTCCCCGTCAGCTAATGCACCCTGCCGTTATATAAACCTTATTTTTATCTATATATCTACACAGGTTAGGGTTTTCAGGGGTTGTAAGTGTGTTTTCATTAGTTAAAAGGATACAGAAAAACTGGTTTTATTCTTCAGTGGTGCTTGTGTTGGTTAAAAGAGGAGGAACCGTGGCAGGGATCTCTCAGAGGTTGGGAGGACGTAGCGGGCTCTCAGCAATCAGCTCCCTGGGAGTCCTGCACTCCCCGCCGGAGGCTTTTCAAATTATTTATGAGTGTCTGAATGCTGAGCCACCCGATGGCACCGCATTTTAATGTCAGCTCACACCGCTTGCTGTGGGCAGCCAGGTCAACAGCCTCTGCCCAAACCAGCCTGAGACATCAGCTGGAGGATTTTGACACATCTCTGGATTCTCATAAAGATAATTTCCTTAAAAGACCCCACCACACACACACACACACACACACTTTATTTGCTGTTGTCTTGGTCAATATTAGTCTCTGTCTTTGTTAGCATTAATTTAACAATATTCTGCAACTGATTTTAAAAGGGAATGTATATGAATATTCTGGCTATTTGGCCAGCTTTTAGTACCAAATACCCATAAAGTGATCCCCGATAACTGCTTGCATGTGGGAGGCATTTCTGATGTGTCAAAGAACGTGAAGCACATGTTTTATCTCGCTAATATCTTCTCTCTTTTCTGGCATTCCCAGCTTCTGCAGGGATGCAGTGTTCGTTAGGGAGCTGTGCCTTTAACGAACGCCAACCTCTG